AGTCCCAGCTCCCACAGGACACCCCCCTTTTTTTTGTTTCCCCCCCCATTCCTCACCTTGTTGTTCCAGGAGGGCGTTTTGCCTCTTGAGGTCGTCGATGTCCTGCTGGTGCGTGTGGTTTTTCCGGCGCATGTACTGGATGTACTCTGTGGCTTTGTCCAGGATTTGGGCCCGGGATGCCTGTTGCAATAGTGGGAAAAGAACAGAGGCGAGATAAAGACCTAGCCCAGGGGGAGGGGGTGGCACCCTGGGGGGTGTTGGTGTGCCCCAGCCCACCCCCAGGAAGGATTTTGCTGTGCTGGTGTCACCGGGAGAACCAAAGCTCAGGTTCTTGGCGCTGGTGTGGAACCAACTGGGGATGGCCGTGGTGGGGCAGAGCCTTCCTGCCATCAGGAAGGGTTGGTGGTGGTGTTCCCCCCCAAAAGGAGAAGCCACCATCACGCAGGAGGGTGCCACCAAGCCCCCCCAGACAAAGCCCTGTGGTCCCTGGGGGCCAGAGCTGGGAAGATCCAGCAGCACCAGGGGGTTCTCCTTCTCCACCTTCCCAAAAAAACCAACCCAGTGGGGTAGAGTGTCACTGCCACCAGGACCCTGTTGGTGGTATCCCCCATGGTGGCACCCCAAAACAAGAACCCAACATCACACAGGAGAGTGCCAACAGCCCCCCCAGACAAAGCCCTGTGGTCCCTGGTGGCCAGAGCTGGGAAGATCCAGCAGCACCAGGGGGTTCTCCCCCTCCACCTTCCCCAAAAAAAAAAACCAAACCAGTGGGGCAGAGTCTCGGTGCCACCAGGACCCTGTTGGTGGTGTCCCCCCAAAACAAGGTGCCACCATCACACAGGAGGGTGCCCCCACATGCAAAGCCCTGTGGTCCCCAGTGGCCAGAGGTGGGATGATCCAGCAGCACCAGGGGGTTCTCCTTCTCTACCTTCACAAAAAAAAAACCCCAGTGGGGCAGAGCGTCACTGCCACCAAGAAAGGTTGTTTCTCCACCCTGTTGGTGGTGTCCCCCATGGTGGCACCCCAAAACAAGAAGCCACCATCACACAGGAGGGTGCCACCAAGCCCCCCAGGCAAAGCCCTGTGGTCCCTGGTGGCCAGAGCTGGGAAGATCCAGCAGCACCAGGTGGGTTCTCCCCCTCCGCTTTCCCCAAAAAAATCCAGGGTCTCAGTGTGGGAAAGGGAGGGAAACGGGGGAGGAGGAGGAGTGTAAGCACATCGCCCCGAAGGGATGTGCACCTGGGAGCTGGGAAAAACACAACGTTTATCGTACTAATCTGTGTTTAGTCTGGAGAGCTCTGCATCCACACTGGGATAACGCGGGGACGGACTTGCAGGGAGGGGGGGGGAAATCTTAATTCCCAAAATAAAGGCGAAACCAGCACCTTGGGACACTCCTTCTCCTTAGAAAGGACCCAGCTGTGCCGTCCCTGCCACCCTGCTGCGGAGATTCCCCCCGGTTCCTGAGGTATTGAATTTTGGGGTTTTTTTTTTTTGCATTTAATCCAAGGTTTTGGGGTTGGGGGGGGGGGGGAAGGGGGGAATTTCCTCCCCCTGCGTGGAGCAGCACGGTCCATAAACTCACCTTCTCTCCCTGGAGAGAGGGGACGGAGTCCCGCAGGCTGTGGAAACTGTCCTTGATGTGGTCCCTGCGCTTGCGCTCCAGCGCGTTGTGATGAGCGCGTTTGTCGGCCTGGGGAGGGGGAAAAGGGACTGGATGGAACTGGGAGGGGACTGGGACCAACTGGGGGGGCAGCCCGAGGGTCCCATAATTCAACATGAAAAGCCTCTTGGGTGTTTTAGTTGAGTTTCACCCCAAAAACCCCGTGCTGGCAGCGCCGCACGAGGGGCTGGAGGGGGTGTGGGATGGGGGAACCCAAAAGCTGTGGGAGATGCCTCCTCCCCCTGCTCTGCTCCCCCCAAAGTCACACCCCCCCCCCCCCCCCCCCCCCCCCCCCCCCCCCCCCCCCCGCGGCCCCCCCCGCTCCGGGGGAGGGGGGGGCTCCGCGCAGCCCCGCGGGGAGGCACCTTTTTGAGGCAAAAAATTCTTTTTCCGCCATTTACCTTCCCCCCCCCCATCCCCAAATTCCCTTTT